AAAATCTGCATTTAACAGTCTAATTAGGGAACTAAATTGATTGATTATTTGCCATAAACAAAGCAAAACTAAATGCAACAATTTCAAGAGACTTATGGCAAATGAATTTGAGGTATGGCTATATCTTTCAAATATTTTTTAATTTTCTTCAATAAAGAAAGGCACAAGAAAGAAAATACCCAACTCTCGGGTGATCTCAGTGTTGCTGGTGGAGAAAAGTGACAATTCTTGCTTGTGTAAATTACAGCGCACTGTCAGTGCTTCATAGTTGGCTGCATGTTGAAGATGTGAGAAAAGGAGATGAAAAAAAGTTGGCTGGGTCCAATCAGTCAGTGAATCCACAGGGCAGCACTGCTTGTTGCTAGAATGAAAGGTTCTTTCTCTACCCCATCCAAGCTGCGACGGCGGCTCCCTAAAACATACTTCAAATACTGTTCCAGCTTCCTCTAGCATTCTGGGATGCTTTCCTCTCATTGCTTTTGATGTCTTGTGGTTCTCTTTGGTATGTTCAGAAAGGGATACACAGTATTTTCACTTGTTCTATTTGGCACTCTAAGCCAAGGAGGGGTCAGATTGAGGGTGGGGGTGGGTGGAGGGGGGGAAAGTAGTGGCAGGAAAATGGAGACAACTGTACTCGAACAGCAATTTCAAAATAAATAAATAAATAATAAAAGATAAAAGATAAATGAAACAAAATAAGAGCATGTGTCTTTAATTGTGGAAAATCTTCAGCCATGATCTCTTCCAATATTCCTTCTCTATATTCCCTCTATCCTCCTGTTTCTGAAATCCTGGCAAACACTCCACAGTGCTGACCCACGTTGCAGCAGCTTTGCAAACTGCTTCCGTCTGTACTGCTTCAGCCTTTATCTTCCTGCTTTACGTTCTCTGTGAGCTCCTCAGTGCTGGTTTCTAGTTTACTAATTTTCCCTTCATTATGTCCAATGTGGAGTGTGTTCTAGTTTATATGTACAGTTTTCCTTTCCAGCATGCTCAGTATTTATCATTGTTCAGTTGTTCCTGTATAATTTCTGCATCTTCTACATGCCCTTATTCTCTTTCTTTCAGACTCTGTTCAGGCTGCTACATGTACTGTGCATCTCTTCAGGAGCAAATCCACAACCAGACTGAGTTAAATATTCCTATGTGCACTACTAATGCCTCTACCTTCTCCCCCTCCTCCTCCTTTTCCTTTCGGTCACACCCCGACTGTGTGTTAAAGCAGCAGATCAGTACCGTCTCAACCAAGTCCAATGCCTTGTTCTAAACAACTTCTCTCCCAGTTCTAACTTGTCTCCAAACCAGCCACTTTGTAAAGCCTTTCCTGACCACGCTCACCTGACATTAACTACCTGACATTAACTACCTCTCTTCTGGTTTGCTGCACCCTGCTTTTGCTTTCATTTAGCATTTACCAAACAAGGGTTTCTTGAAGACCAAGAGTGTGTAGGCACCACAGTATAAACATGACCAATACAAGGTCTCTTCCTCAAGGAATCAAGGGTCAGGTCGTCAAGCTGGATGAGTGAACAAACTACTGCTATGCAGAGCAAGTGCTGCAGTCCACGGATGTCCAGGGTCCGGGTGGAGGGGGCAAGGAGCTGAGCCCCACAGAGGGGAGATGCTTGAGCTGGGTCTTGAGGAACAGGAGTTTGCTAAACAGAGCTGAGGACCTTCCTGGCTGAGGGAATAGCATGTTCAATGGCACTGAGGTGGAAAGAGAAAAGGACACTTTCAAAAACATCAAGACACCAAGGCATGTGAAGAAGGCAGCGATCAGGAAAGGGTGGAGATGGGGTTGCAGAGCTGAGCGTGAAGGGCCTCAGACAACATTGGGACTACTCGGTATGTCCCTAGGCACCATGTGAAGCACATTGAATGTTAAAGCAGGAGCTTGGCAGGACAAGGTTTTCACTGGCAGGAGTGAGAAGCAATGGAAGGGACCAGAGTCAAAGTTGGGTGACCAGATAGGAGACCAAGGATGACAGCAGGCCTAAATGACCTTGAAGGTCCCAAGATGGAGGAAAGTGGGAGTGGCAAAAGTGAGGTAGGGTTGACAGGTACATATTTGTGATTGAGATAAAGTAAGGCCTGATAACGCTGGAGCTGAATGGCCTTCCTAGAACAAACAAGCTAACTCCTTCAGCCAGGGGAGACCGCAGGCCACTCCCGCAGCCATCATTCAGCACCGCAGGAGCCCTGGCACAGGGCCTCGATGCACTCCCTGCAAGGCCCTGCCAGCTACACACTTTGGATAGGTCTTTAATTTGTGTAAATTAAAGTTATTTTATTTCCATGTTTTGAGGACAAACACCTTGGGGGAAAAAACAAGACCCGCTTAAATTCAGCATAGAAACTGATTACTGTCTTACCCTGTGTCTCTCTCTGGATATTTTTTTAAAGGGGGCTCGCTTGCCAGAGTGCAGTTGCTCTCATTTCTTCCCGCCATCCTGTGTGGGTGCAGCAGTGTGGGGGATGGGAGCTTACCTGGAGGTGAGAGGCAAGCCATATCCAGCCCTCTGAACACCTGGCCCTAGACTGAGCAGGCATCTCCAGAACTTTTGTAATTACATCTGCTCTTCTGCTTGATACAGAGCGGATGTCGTTGTGGTTACATTGAGAATCCACCACATTCTGTGAAAAATATCATTGGGGTCACAGAGCCTCCTTGGTGGGTTTGACATGTCGCCATAACATCCCCCCCTTCACCAGGCTCTGCATAAACGGGCTGCCTCCAAGCAGCTACAGCTCCCTTCCAGGAGACTGAGATGGGACTACCCTATTTTCACACCCTGCACCCCAAAATCCGACCATCAACATACTCAGGGGCAGAGTTTCCAATATCCAAATATCTGTCGGTTGAGTCTGGCCCAAGGCCATGCTTCCTCCACCAAGCGAGGTTCACTTTCATAGCTGTCACCTTCATAGCCCCTTTCTGAGCACACCCTTCAGCTAGCAGGGCCGTCTGACAGTTCCCCTTACAATGGGAACAGAAATGAAGCAAAATGGGAAGCTGCTGTCTAACACGAGGATTGCCATGTTGGAGACCTGTTTGGACTTAGCTGCACTTGTATGTCTACACAAAGACACACACACACACACACACACACACACTGATATGCCAGGAGATCCACTCCTATGTACCCTGTTCGTAACCATCATTACAAAGGGTTCCCTTCCCCAACCACCCTCATCATTAATTTGAAAATGTTGTATGTGCTGGTGCAAGTCCTCAGGGATACAGATACATTGTATCTACTACAGCCTTGCTAGCAATTACAAAAACTGAGAAACCGCTTACATGGAAATGCCCCCATTTAGAAGAACAGGGTGGCTCTGCCAGCTCGGACATGAAAAGCTTTCCATCTACTGTTAGATAAGAAAGATAAGTTGCAAATATATGTGTGTGTGTGTATACACATACATAGCACAGCTACACATGTCTAAAACAGCGTGTAAACATGTTGATGAACAGATAATATGTGAGGGACACACTCAAATGTAACAGTGATTTTCTTTGGAGAATGGATGACTCTGAGGAAAGCTGAGCTGGAGAACTTCCCTGTACTGTTTTTTTTGGGGTTTTTTTTTGTATCCTCTGAGGTTTTTCAAGAACATGTAATTCTCATAAGGTAAAAAGAAAACACCTTAAACCCATTTTAAATATAAAATGTTAGATGTTCCATGTTTTAGTAAGCAACTGGGTGCTTCAGGAAGGAGTACACAGAATTGAAATCAAGGTAATTTTTTAAGAAAGTCCATTCAACACTAAGTTCGCATTCCACAAAGGGAGAACAGTTCATAAACGCAGCTCGGCCTAAGCTGAGGGGTGTCTGAGACAGGGTCCCCACGGGACAGACTCGCAGGTGGGGCAGACATGTGCAAGAGATAATGCCAGGTGGCTCGACTCTGGAACCAAGCAACGGGTTGAAGTACACCTACCATAAAACTCAAAGTGAGAAGACCTGGAGACCCTGAAGAGATGGGAGGAGGGCGCCCACTGGGTCTGGAAAGGTTTCAGAACAGCAACAGATCAAAAGGAAGGGGACACATGTGTGCCAGGGCCAGACAGGGAAGACTGCCTTCGCCCAGGCCACACCCATACCCCTGCTCAACGCCCCCGAGCAGGAAAAACAGAAATGAGGTCCAAGTCCCACAGCACCGGAGCCAGCCTCCGGGCTTATGCAAGAAGTCTTGCAAGGGAAAAGAACAGCAAAAGCAAGAGGAGCCCCCAGGGTAGACAAGCTCAAGTCCGGTGAGAGTGCAGCGGTGCGGGACGAGCAGAGGCTGAGGCAAGCCAGCACTCAAACAAGGGCCCTGAGCCAGGCCAGGGGGCAGCTTCCACCCAGTCCTGCAGGTCATGGGAGGAATGACTCCATCACGTCCCCGTGTGGGATTAATGTTCACAGCAGGTGACTGGACGACTGGCCAGGAGAGAGAGAGTATGGAGGCTGTGGCAATGACCCTAAGAAAGGGCTATCAGCTGTGTGGCAGCTGTGCGGAGAAGGACCCAACGCTGTGGTCCGCAGAGAACCGCCAGCCCCAGCAAGCCCCACACGGCTGGGGTCGCGGATGCCCTGCAGGCCCTCCTGGGTCAACCCCAGACTGCGGCCGAGTTCGCGAGAAGTGGGCAAGTCATTAGCGCCTCTCCCTTCTCGGCCCTCAGTGCCCACTTTGCAAAGCCCAGTAGAAACAGTGCCAGAGACACTGCGAGTGAGGGCAAAGGAAGTGGACACTCCGCTTTCCTGCGCACTCTCGCCCTCATTTCTCGCGGTGTCTAATCTCTCATCACCTTCTGGCACTCCCACCAGAATGCGGTGTCGAGCTTCTCACGGCCCCGGGCACCCGCAAGGCTGCCTAGACAGCTCCCTTTCACGGGCCCCAGCCCCTTCTCTGGACTGGAAGGTGATAACCGCGAAAAGGAGGGCAACTATCTCCCCGGCGGAGCTTCGGATGACATCACATCCTCCGAACGCGCAATCCGGTTCGGCGGCCGTCCGAAGGGCTCCACGTCCCCGCTCGGCGTCGCACCGCCTCCCGCGCGCCTGCCGCGGGTGTCTGAGCCGGGCGCTGAGCCGCGCTGCGGGAGCGCGCCATGACCTCGCCGGCGACCCAGGTGGCCCTGCCGCTGGCCCTGCTGCTGCGTGAGTTTGCGGCCCTCGGGGAACGCGGGGCGGGGGCGGGGTGGAGAGGCTGGTGCGCGCGCGGGGACCGGGCTCAGCCTCCCCGCTTGCGCGCCCGCAGACGCCGCAGCGGTCCTCGGCTGGAACGAGTTCCGCATGACGCCGCGCGAAGTGACCGCGACCGTGGGCCAGAAGGTGGAGCTGCGCTGCGAGGTGTTCGTGACCAAGTCGTCGGGCTGCACGTGGCTGTTCCAGCGGCGGGAAGCGGCCGCCAGCCCTGTCTTCCTAATGTACATCGGTACCCGGACCAAGATAGCCGAGGGGCTGGAGTCCCACATCTCAGGCCAAAAGTTCCAGAACGACGGCTACACCCTCACACTGCACAGCTTCACAGAAAAGGACCAAGGCTACTATTTCTGCTCGGTCGTGGCCAACTCGATAGTGTACTTCAGCCCCTTCGTGCCCGTCTTCCCGCCAGGTCCGGGAGCTGAGGGCGCGGCACCTCTCGGTGTGGGGGTCGGGGCTCTCCTCTGAACCCGTTTTCGCGTGGACGCCCGGCTTTCGAGCCTCTTAGTGCCCCTAGGAGCTACTTAGATACTGTCCCCATTTCGCAGGCGTGGCAGTCCCCACGCGGCGAAGGCGCGGCCGGGTGGAGACTAAAGATGGTTTTTTAGGTCCGGCCGATCTGGGCTCGAGTTTAGGTGCTGGTGCGGTCCTGGGCACCGCACTTGAATTCTCCGAGCCTCGGTTTGCTCGTCAATAAAATGCGGACATCAACCCAAGCCCTCAAGGGAGCGCGCCAACAAGGGTGGAGCCCTGCAGGGAGGTTGCTGGTGGGAACGGGCTCCCGCGTCCGGTCGGAGGCGCCGAGGTGCCCTTCATGGAGCCGGAAAAGAGCGGGGCTGCCGCGCCACCACGAAGGAAGGGGTCGGCGCAGAGCCAGGAGGTTCCCGCCCCGTCTCCCTCCCCTCGAGAGCTGAGTGAAGCGCGGGCGACGGTCTGTTGTTCCTCGGGTGGAAACCGGGACGAGGAGTCCCCTCGGGCAGGGGCGCGCGGAAGAGTGGGGAGGGTTTGCGTTCGGATCCCCAGCCCGACCCCCAACCTCGTTCTGTTGTTCCCGCAGAAAAACGCACCACGACGCTCGCACCGCGGCCATCCACGCGGGCGCCCCCCAGCGCGTCGCAGCCGGTGTCCCGGCGCCCGGAGACGTGCCGGCCGGCGGCTGGCAGCCCAGGTGAGGCTGGCCCAGGGTCCCGAGGCGGGGCCGGCCAAGGGCAGTGCAGACCTGATCCGGGAGGTAGAACCGAGGGCGGTGCGAGTGGTGGGAAAACCGAGACGCGGAGCTGGGAGATGTGCTGGGGCCCCGTCGGGATGCGGTGGAGAATCCGATCCTAAATGTTGGTGTCTTCGGTGTCGTCAGTGGAAACGAAGGGGAAATACTTCGCCTGTGTTATCTACATATGGGCGCCACTGGCTGGCATCTGCGCGGTCCTTCTTCTGTCCCTGGTCATCACCGCCACCTGCAGCTACAGTAAGTCCCGGGGAACGGCGGGGCGGGGCGCATCGCGCTGCTTGATCCAGGCAGCCCTCGCGGGGAGATGGGGTTGAGATTTCCGGGACTCCAAGCCGCATCGCAGGGCCAGAAACGACCCGTTTCCTTCTGGAGATGGGACGGCGCGGAAAGCCCCTTCCCGCCCCTCTTCCACTCTGCTGGGAGCTTTTGAGATGAAGCACAGATCCCTGCCTGTGCCCCGGCGGCGGCAGCACGTGTGTTCCTTCCGCGCCGCGGGGACAGGTTCGGGCTTACTCCAGGCGCCGCCGGGGAGCCCGCCTCTGCGGCCCGGGGCCCAGTGCCCACGGAGGCCGGGTCAGCCGCACCTCGGGTTGAGGTTTATCCTTGGCCCCTACCGGACTTTGGTTCCCACGCAGGTGAACCACGGGTGTATTTGCAATGTGTTTTGTATGTTTGTTTTCAGTCTTTTTTTTTTTTTTTTTTAATGAGAAGAGGGATGGAAAAGAAACTCTGACCTGGACTCTCAAGAGTTATAAACCTAAAGAAACAGGAACAGGGAAGGAGACACCATATTTGGGGGCTACTGGGAGAGGCAGAGGCACTTTACCCCTTCTTTTTTCTTTCTCCAGGAAACCGAAGACGCGTTTGCAAATGTCCCAGGTGAGTCTCTCATAACTGGTGGGCCTGCTAACCCGCTGGGCAGCCCTGGGCTGGGAGCCTAGCTTCCCAAGCAGCAGACGGTGGGCGCCTTTCCCGGAGAGGCTGCGGCAGTAGAATCCCGGGAACAGGGCACCAGCACAGTGCTGGGCCGGAGAAGCGGGACCCTGGCAACTGGGGAAAGTGGAGACCCAGGGCGGGCTGATGGGGGAGCAGTGCCACTTCAGAAAATCTGCGTCTGATCTGGCCTAGCACCTAAAAACCCATCTGAAGGATTCCCCCAATTTACTCGAGCTCTTCAAAAGGCCTGAGGTCTCTTTATCTGAATGATTTCAGCTGGGGGTTTTTGTTTTGTTTTGTTTTGTTTTTCTTCAGAAAATTTTTTCCCCCTACTTGCTTGATGTAATTTGAGAGTCAATCTTTTATCATCCGAACCAAATAAATAATGGCCTTGGTTCCTAATTCCCCTGTGCCAGTGGCAGGGCCTTGATTTGCTGCCAAGAACTGGAATGAGAGAAAGCAGGACCAGAGGCAGCTCCCTGGCCTCTCAAATTGCTGCCCCATCCATTTTCTAGGCGAGGATCAGGCCTTTGTCTCCTTTCTCACTCTCCCTGAGGCCAAGGCAGCTCTGTGCTAATATCTAACAAGCAGCCCCTCTGGCCCTGCACTGTGACGCAGGTTCAACTCAGGGACTCCCTTACCCTCACAGCAGCTCCATGTGGTGGACACCAGGGGCCCGGCTCACAGACCATCGACTCAGAGGTCAGGAAAGCTCCCCAAATTGGCAGAGACCTGATTAGTGATTACACTCAGATGATCAAAAATAGTAGCCACCATTGGATGAAATCCAGTTACCTGCCATAGAAATATACATGGATATTTATTTTCAATTCCAAGTTTCATAACAACTTTTAAAGCAATTCCTGTGACCACTATTTCATGGATGAGAAAGCTGAGGCTTAGCACATGTAGTAACTGGTTCAAGGCCATAATGCCAGCCAGAAACAGAGCTGCAACTTCTGTCCAAAGCTCAGGCTCCTGCCTGTAGTTGGGCGCTTAAGAGAGGAGGGAGTTAAAGATAACCAATTATATTCACCAGTTCTCTTCGGTCGATGAAAACATTTCAAATTTTGTACCTGGGGTTTGCATATTTCTCTGCAGAGATCCAAGTTCAACATCTTACACATCATTATTTTTAACAATGCAGATATAATGAATTTCCAATGCATATATTATAGGTGATACACCAAGGGGGTAAAGGCATTAAAAACAGAGAAGGATTTTTAGCAATTTCAATACTTGCAGTGCAGTGGGAGGAGAATCATCCCTTATCTCTATCTTTTCTGAAAGTTCTCGTTTTGAAACGAATAACAGAACAAAACTCTGCCCTGAAATACAAAGCTGTGCAGATTAAGCACGTCTGAGGAGTCCGCAAGGCTGAGCTAACACACCCGGGGGTGATGGAGGGCAACCTGCTCGCACAGAGAGGTTTGGGGGCGTGGCGCGCATAGACCCGACAGTAGTGACAATCAGCCTGTTTAGGAGGTGCCAGCCCCGTACTGAATTACCGCCCATTTCTAGTGTGGTTATCAAGGGGACTTTTAAATAAAGTAGCTCTATATGGCTGATGGTGGTGGCTTGCTCACATCCTCCCCTATCCCTGAGAACCCTCCTGGGAGCTGAGAATCGAGCTTTGGTTACCAGCCTCTTTCTCTCACCTCCATGGGCACCTTGATAAAGACCCTGGGTTCAGATCCTCGCTCCACCGCCTCCTAGTTATGTGACCTTGGGTAGGTTCTCTAGCCTCTCATGGCCAGTACATACGCCTCAGGTTGCTGTGAGGATTGAACGAGGGGGCACAAGTAAGGCACTTGGCGGGTTGCTGAGGTCATTCAGCCAGTCCAAGGCTGGAGTCCGAGGGAGAGTGGGTAGACATGGGTGGATGCGGCACTGCCTTCCAGGGGCTCTTACTACAGTGACGGTTGCCTCTCTTCCAGGCCCCTGGTCAGACCGGCAGGCAAGCCCAGCCCCTCGGAGAGATACGTCTAACATGGCAACGGGCCCTGTGCAACAGCCACTACAAGACTTCAGACTGAGAACTCTCCTCACAAGGAGGGCAACGGCCCTTCCCTTTTGTTTTTTTCAGCCTTCCTTCTTTATGTATTCATTCTCCTTATTATTATTTTTGTTGGGTGGGGGGTGGAAGGGTTACTCTTTCTTTGCCTTTAATTGATACAAAACAAACCTGTATGTCAACGGTACACCATCGGGCACACGTATCGGGGAAAGGGCAGGCTGTGTTCTCAGAGCCAGGCCGTTAGAGGTGGTGGGGGCCTCACAAGCACCTGGTCCAAACCTCGTCCCTGGCCATTTATGTCACAGAGGAGGAGGCTGAAGTCCAGGGAAGCTCCATCAGAGTCACAGCAGGGCTGGGGTTCCTCCTCCACACCGTTCAGATCTCTCTTCTGGGGGCGTTTGTCTCCGCGTGGGTTCTGTGTCTCAAACCGCAAGGGAACCAGTCATTTCTTGAGCACCCGCAATGGACCCATTACTGCACCCACAGCCGAGAGAAGGTAATGAAATAAAAGAAACTCTGCTTTTCACAGAGTTCCGTAATGTAGTTGAACAGGAGCAGAATTTTTTTATAAGAAAGCCTGAAATCATATAGACAGTAGGAATTCCTCAAATTAAGCTGAACCGAAGTCTGGAAAATGAATCCTCAAATCTCCGAATAAAACCTCTCTCACATCCCTGACTGGAGGTGAAATTGTACCCCCAGTCCTGCATCGCAGAGGGACCCACGACAGAGGAGAGGCCATCCTTTTACAAATAGGATTGGCGCGTCAGTAAGGATGAACGGAGATCCTTTTGGATCTCAAAACGTTAGATGCCATATTTGAACGTGCTCCTGGGACCACGGAGACTTTTTAGCTTGTAAAGGCAGAATCGTGAGAGAGCTGCCGGCACTACCCTGGCCTCCCCTCAGGTGGGGGTGTAGCAGAAGAGACTCCGCCCTGGTCAGAGGAGGGGAGGAGTCTAACTGCCCAAAGGGCTGCCCCGCACACACATTTCCTCCCCCGTGGTGTTGTACTGCAACTGTTCTCACAGCAAGAAAAACATTCAACTAGATAAGGAAATAAGAATCATCCATAATTCTTTACCCCCAGTATAACCCACTGTTAATATTACGATATGTGTCTTCAGATTATTCTCTATGCATACGTGTAGAATATATTTTTTGATTTTTAAATGGAATTGCATTATGCTTTTTATAAGTGGCTTTAATAAACAAACCTTTACAGCATACTTTTTAAAAATATATTTCATTGATTCTGTTATTACAGTTCCAGTTTCCCCCCTTTGCACTCCTCCCTCTGGTACCCCACTTCCCTCCAGCAATCCCCCGCTTACTTCATGTCCGTGGGTCATTCATGTAAGGCTACTCCATTCACTTTATTATTCTTAACATCCCCCTGTCTATTTTGTACCTACCAATTATGTTTCTTAGTCCCTGAACCTTTTTCCCTATCTTCCCCCTTGCTGCTAACCCTTCAAATAATCTCCACATCTATGATTCTAATATAATTCTTATTCTAATTGCTGAGTTTGTTTTTGTTTTTTAGACTTAGTTGTTGATAGTTGTGAATTTGTTGTCATTTTAATGCTCATAGTTTTGATCTTCTTTTCCTTTTTTTTTTTTAGAAAGGGGAAGGGAGGGAGGAGAGGGGAAGACAAACATCAATGTGTGAGAGATGCATCGATCAGTTGCCTCTTGCACACCCCCAACTAGAGACCAGGCCTGCAACCCAGGTTTGTGCCCTGACTGGGAACCGGCAACCTATTGGTTCGCAGGTTGGCACTCAATCCACTGAGCCATACCAGCCAGGGCTTCTTTTTCTTAAATAAGTCCCCGTAACATTCATATAATAAGGGCTTAGTGATGATGAACTTCTTTAGCTTCACTTTGTCTGAGAAGCACTTTATCTGCCCTTTCATTCTAAATGATAGCTTTGCTGGATAGAGCAATCTTGGTTGTAGGTCCTAGCTTTTCATCACTTTGAATACTTCTTGCCAATTCTTTCTTCCCTGAAAAGTTTCTTTTGAGAAATCAGCTGACAGTCTTATGGACACTCCTTTATAAGTAACTTTCTCCTTTTCTCTTGTTGCTTTTAAGATTTTCTCTTTATCTTTAACTTTTGGCATTTTATTTATTTTTTTAATAAGACATAGCCTATTTTTTTAAATTTTATTTATTTATCTTTAGAAGGGAAGGGAAGGAGAGAGGGAGAGAAATATCAATGTATGGTTGCCTCTTGTGTGTCCCCTGCTAACAACTGGCCTGCAACCCAGGCATGTGCCCTGATGAGGAATCGAACTGTGATCTTTTGGTTCACAGGCCTGTGCTCCATCCACTGAGCTACACCAGCCAGGGCTAACCTTTGGCATTTTAATTATGATGTGTTTTGGTGTGGTCCTCTTTGGGTCTGACATGTTTGGGTCTTTGTGCTTCCTGGACTTGTATGTCTATTTCCTTCACTGAATTAGGGAAGTTTTCTTTCATTATTTTTTCAAATAAGTTTTTGATTTGCTTTTCCTCTTCTCATTCTGGTATCCCTATGATTCATATGTTGGCACTTTTGGAGATGTCCCGGAGTCTTCTTATTCTCTCCTTTAAAAAAAATTTTTTGTTTCTTCATTCTATTCTGGTTGATTGTTTGTTTCTTCTTTATGTTCCAAATCGTTGATTTGAATCCTGGCTTCCTTCCCCTCACTGTTGCTTCCCTGTGCATTTTTCTTTATTTCCCTCCCAGCGTAGCCTTCCTTTCTTCCCTTATGCTTTTGCCATACTGTGACTTCTCTGAGCATCCTGATCACCAGTGTTTTGAACTCTGCATCTGATAGGTTGGCTGTCTCCATTTCTCTTAGTTCTTTTTCTTGGGTTTTGTTCTGTTCTTTCATTTGGGACATATTTCTTTGTTTCCTTGATTTGGTAGCTTCCTTGTGTTTGTTTCTGTGTATTAGGTAGAGCTGCTTTGACTCGTGGTCTTAGTGCACCTGTTAAGTGGTATGGGGCCGAGCCTTGGGTATTTGCTAGGGCAGGGCACCCCCCTTCACTATTTTGTGACTCTGTGTGTCAGGGGTAGGTTGGAGAGGGAGCAATGTCACTGGCCGGCTGCTGGAGGCTTACTCAGCACTTGTGCCATTTCCAGTCACTTCTCCCCTTTCCATGTGACTGGTGTCCCTCTAGCTGCTGCCCTGGAGGTGGCTCCCGGAATGGGTAAGTTTGCACACGTTCTAGGACTATGCAGGCCCTTTAAATGGACTCTCCTGAGAGATTGGCAGTTTCTTCTGCTGTCCCAAACCCCACTGGTTTTTACAGCCAGAAGTTATGAGGCTTTATTTTTTCATTGCTGGAAACCTGGCCTGTGTGGTCTGGCCTGGACCTGGGATCACTCGCTCCTAAGGTATCCCTCTCAATTTTTACCCACCACACATGAGTGTGGGACTGACCACTGAGCCAGCTGCCTCGCTGCCCCCACACCACGTCCTCTCCACCCCAGCTCCCCGCCTCCACCCCTCCTGCCTGTCTGGTTGAATATGGCTTCTTTAAATCCTTGTTTGTCGGACTTCCTCACCATTTGGTTTTCTGGCTGTTCTGGGTGTTTTTGTTTTGAGGTTAGCTGTGATCCTTTTTATGGTTGTGCAAGGAGGTAAAGCGTGTCTAGCTACACCTCCATCTTGACTGGAAGTGCAGCACACTTTTTAGTGGCAAAATAACATTCCATGTTTGGTTGTGCCATCATTCATTAAACTCTTATTGACCGCTTCATGGTTTCCAATTTTCCACTTCTACGGCACTACTAAAACTGTGTACACATCTTTGTTTCTTTTTTTAATTTATTTTTTATTGATTATGCCATTACAGTTGTTCTATTCCCCCCTTCATTCCCCTCCACCCTACCCCCGCCCCACCATTACCCCCCTTTAGTTTATGACCATGTGTCTCAAGTTCTTTAGATTCTATATTTCCCATACTATTCTTGCCCCCCATCTATTTTCTATCTACTGTCTATGCTACTTGTTTTCTGTACCTTCTCCCCCCTTCTCCTCCTCCCACTCCCCTGTTGCTAACCCTCCTTGAGATCTTCATTTCTATGTTTCCACTCCTGATCTAGCTGTCCTTTTAGTTTGCTTTTGTTTTAGGTGTGGTTGTTAATAACTGTGAGTTTGTTGTCCTTTCACTGTTCATGTTTTTTTTAACTTCTTTTTCTTAGGTAAGTCCCTCTAACATTTCATATAATAAGGGCTTGGTGATGATGAACTCCTTGAATTTGATCTTATCTGAGAAGCACCTTATCTGTCCTTCCATTCTAAATGAAAGTTTTGCTGGATAGAGCAATCTTGGTTGTAGGTCTTTGGATTTCATGACTTGGAATACCTCTTTCCAGCCCCTTCTTGCCTGTAAGGTCTCTTTTGAGAAATCTGCTGACAGTCTGATGGGAACTCCTTTGTAGGTGACTGTCCCCTTATCTCTTGCTGCTTCTAGTATTCTCTCCATTTTATTCTTGGCTAATGTAATGATGATGTGCCTTGGTGTGTTTCTTCTTGGGTCCAACTTCTTTGGGACTCTCTGAGCTTCCTGGATTTCCTGGAAGTCTATTTCCTTTGCCAAATTGGGGAAATTCTCCTTTATTATTTGTTCAAATAAGTTTTCCACTGGTGGCTGTTCCTTTCCCCCTTCTGGTTCCCCTATAATTCGGATGTTGGAGTGTTTAAAGATGTCCTGGAGGTTCCTAAGACTCTCTTCATTTTTTTCGAATTCTTGCTTCTTCACTCTTTTCTGTTTGGCCATTATTTGCTTTCTTCTGGTCCACTCCATTGATTTGAGTCCCAGTTTCCTTTTCATCGCTATTGGTTTCCTGTGCAATTCCATTCATTTCAATTAGTTTTGTCTTCATATGTTTCTCTAATTTGTGACTATAATCAACCAGTTCTGTGAGGATGCTGATCACCAGTTTTTAAACTGTGCATCTGAGAGTTGTGCTATTTCTTCATCGCTTAGATTTATAGGCTCTGGGGCTTTGAGATCTTCTTGAGCCATTTTCGGTCTGTTTGTGCCTGTTAAGTATGAGGAGTGGAGCCTTGGACTCCCAGGTCGCTGGGTTGTGATGCTGTATGTGGGGGCATGGTCCCATAGCTGGGACCTGCTGGGTCCCATCCAATCGCCCACTCCCTCGCTTGTCTATCCGAGCACGAATGTGCGACCACAGTCAACCCGCGCAGCCCTGCTCCCTGGCTGTTTCCCCGCGGTTGCTTGCTTGGTCGCTTGCTCGGTCTCTCACTAGGTCCCACCCTGCGCCTGGATTCCGGCCTGAGTCCTTCTGACCGAGTTTTCCTGTGCAACCCCGCTCCGCCAGCTGCTGGTTTCGCCCCTTACCGGTCAGGCTGAAGAATTTGTTGTTAACAGACTTTCGAAAAGTTCAATTTTCTGTGTTCTGGCTGTGTTTTCTGTTGCTAATATTTAATTGTCTCTAAACTTGGTTGTGTGAGAAAGCACGGCGTCTCCACCTATGCCTCCATCTTGGCGGAAGTCCCCACATCTTTGTTTCTTTAAGATAAATACCCAGAAGTGAAATTACTGAGTCACTCCACCTTGGACTCCCCATTTTCACATAAATTAAAACAAATTAACCTCTTCTTCCATCACTTTCTTTTCTTCTTTTTAAAAAATATTTTATTTATTTATTCTTAGAGTAGAAGGGAGGGAGGAAGAGGAGAGAAGCCTTGCTGTGTGAGAGAAACATCTACAGGTTGCTTCTCACATACCCCCAACCAGGGGCCTGACCCACAGCCCAGATGTGTCCTGATAGGAATTGAACCGCAAACTTTGTTTGTAGGACAACACTCAACACTGAGCCACACCAGCCAGGGTGTCCATCACCATCTTTCCTGCTGTTATTCCTTTGTAACATGATACTCCTGACACTCCTCTTGCGCTACATCGCAAAGTCTCCATTCTTTTTGCTGGGATAAAATGTAGAGAAAACCACACAGACCATAAGTGTAAGCTCCAAGACACCATTAAGTGAACATATACAGCTAGCACCAGGTCAAAAACAGAACTTTTCCTACCCTCCACATACTGCCTTTTGCAACCTTAACTGGTAAAACTCAAATACTTTTACAGAACAGAAAGTGAGAGGAAAATGTACCCCAAGTAACAGAAAGCAGAAGTGAAAGCTAAAAAACGTCCAATAAGAGGAAGAGTCTAATATATCCTAAATTAAACCATAGCAGGCCAGAGACTAGTAGAGGCAAGAGTAATTCCCATTTCATAGCTC